ACACACACACACACACACACACACACACACACACACACACACACACACACAGAGTATATCAATATCTAACAAAGCATGAATGCTGATGGTGCTTTGTACTAAGTTAAAGTACTAAACTCAATATTTGTTCTAATTACTGTAGGCAGGAATGTTTTTACTCTGTGTGTGGATAGTATTTTCCTGCTGCTGTATTATCACTCTTCAGAAACAAATGTCTTTTCCTGCATGTCAGTTTGTCTTTTCATAGCAGCGTATGACCAGTGTGTAGCTAATTTAGTTAATTATGACCCTGTTCCAATTGGGGGGACACCCGTAGATGAACCTCTCCACAGCCTGCTCTTCAACATTGTTGAAGCAGTGTGGGGTCATCTTGACAGAGAACAGATTTGTATATATTTGGACCAACTTTGTCTTATAGCATAGTGATTAACATTTGCTTGACAAGCAAAAGGTCAATTGTTCAGTTCCAGCCAGAGACAGAAATCCCCTTTGGGGTCGAATCAGAATCAGAAGTATCCAGTATGAAACTCCTCCAAATGAAGCATGTGAAGCTGCCCGCACTGGCAACCCCTTTGTGACAAGGGAGGACCTAAAAATAAATTCTCCTGTTACTCAAGAGGATAAGTGACTTTGCCCTTTGCTGGGCTGAGAGAGGTGCCAGCTGCAGCCTGAAACCTTCACAGGGGCGTGGGTTTCTGGCTGGGCTTTAGTTTCTTCTGGTCTTCTGTAGAGATTATTGCCACTGTAACGGTGTGCCACCAGATATACATGTACCATCGCTGGGATCTGAACCTGAAAGTGCAGGTAGTATATGAAGAAGGTGAACTCCTTCCTTAAACACAAGAAGAGCGCAGGTTCACAGCTTTGTCATACCATCTCACAATGATGTTGTCCTGCTTTTCTCTGATGTCTAAAGAGCCTCTTCCCTTTTTCTTCAAATCTTTCTCATCCATTGTGTTGCAGTCTTTTACTCTGCTCATTCAAACTTTTCATGTTATGTTTTGGATTCCTCTTTTTTTCGAGTGTTCCACCTGTAAAAGGGAAGAAAGTAGCTTTCTGCAAAAACCTTGTGATTTTATTTTTCCTGCTGGAAGAGCTGAGGCCATTTTTACACAGCATCTCCAGTAGAACCAACATCAGATTTATTTGTTCTGGATTTTCTGCCCCTTGTAACAACAAATCAAAGTAAAAAAAACACAAATACTTTGTCCTGTACGTCTCCGCATCTTGAAAATCCATTGTTGAAGCTTTGCTGGCATGTTAGATGCGTAAATGTTTTTTTAAGTGAATCAGCATCAGGACTTTTAGGAATCTGTCTCAACACATCACTTCACAAACAGCAAAGCGCTTTGCCTTCATCTCCCAACAAACTCGTACACTGGGCAGCTGTACTTATCCCATGTGCATGTACATACCCAGAATTTGCTCAGTTTCCTTAGGAATTTTGTTTAATGACTTTCTTCTTTCCACACACTACACATGTTTGTTTGTTCTGTTGTTGTTGTTTCTTGTAGCATTTCGTATTCACAGAATTTACAAAATGCATGTATGGTGCTCAGACAAGTCTGTCATCTGAATCGTCCTCAACACATTCCACAAATTCAACATCTCAAAGTCAGGATGTTTTTCTTCTTCCACTGATACTCTTTCCTTTGCACTTTGCCTCTTGCTGAGTGCTTCGAGGTCAGTTGGTGTGTGATCTGGACAGTTTAGGTGTGACATGTGACAAATACTGGATGAAAATGGGACGCCGTCCCACAAAAATGTGTGACCAAGCTGGTGATCAGCATGAGGAGGTTGCAGCCTGTGTCAGCTGTGTATGGTTCCTCCACATGCTACTGAAGGCCTTTATTGTTAAATGAATACATTAAATTGTCAATACAGTAAACAACAACAAACAACACTCAACAGCAGAATAACTGTTTGGTACTGACAGAGAAGCTTTAGCGAGGTTTTCATGGGAGCAGCCCACATTCACTGCTCTACTCACTCCTTACAAATGTGGCACCATTTCAAGTGCAACAAAGTCTCTCCAGTTGTTTACGATTTATTGTGAAGAACTATTACTATAGAGCAAAGGAATAACTGACCAAACAAAAGTGTCCTTACTTGCTTTGCTACGTTTGTTCTCCACCTGCGTTACAGCTGCTTCAGTGTTTTCTCTCAGAGAGGTGCAGCTCCAGAAGGACCCAGGACACCGCAGCTCAGTATTCCAGCCTTTAGGTAAGGGATCTGACCTCAGTGCAAAATCTGGCCACTTGTTGTTCACATAAGTAACATTTATAACATTCAGTCTTTGTGTTTTCTTCATATTGGTCACAAGAGAAAAATTTCCTTCATTGTTAATTTATCTGATTCTAAAAAAACAACTTTGTTCTTGAAATGCTGAGGTGTCTGCACATGTACTTTGTCAATTAGCAAAGCACTCTGAGAGGCCAGCATGCCTTGTTTGTTTATTCTAATGCAATAAAATTGCCACTCCAAAAACTCTCAGGGGAACTGAAAGACAAGTAAAAGTAATAAAGCCCTCTCTACTTTTTCATTTCCTGTTCTTTTATTGGAAAGTAGGCTCAGCTATTGTGAGATTTCTACTACTCTTTAATCAAACTAATTAATGTTAGGTTGAGAGATTCCTCTAAGGAAAAAAACATGAGTCATTCTTTCTTTTAAAAATTGCTTTAATTTGTTTGAATTAGTCAATAGGGCTGTTCGATATAACGATATATATCGGATGATGATATAAAAATATCTATCGTTTCATTTTACGCTATCGTTTGTTTCGTGGTGTCGCAAAATAAACTCTTTACGGCAATATTTTTTCATCGTTCTGATGGTCACTGTAGTGGCTATATTAATTTCTTTAAGTTCTCTCTTTCTCTTATATTTAATATAACCACACTACAGACAGACAAGCGCCTGTTTTTATGCGTTGTCGTTAGCAACAACAACGGTAACACCATCTCGTGTCTGCTTGTTTGTTCCACATAAACCTTTCACAATAAAGCTCAAGATCCTGTTGAGATTTTTCAAAATAAACTGAATCACGTGAAAGAGCAGATTATTTACAGATGAGAAGTTAAAAAAGTCGCCAGGTGCTAAAAAATAAACCTTAGACTCAAACGTTAGAACAGGCTTTTCCCCGCAGCACGCCGTGTAATAAATACTCACAATGAAAACGGCGACCGTTACAACTTATGTCTGAAAATGTATCGTTTCATGCATCGGTTAAAACACTCGACTCCAGCTACATGACGCGCAGCTGGAAACGCTTCACGCAAGACGAGCTGCCCGAGATTCACAGAATTTACAGAAAATGTTACATTTTTGTGATTTATATCGTTATCGGGACGATAGAAGTCTTATATCGGGATATGAGATTTTGGTCATATCGCACAGCCCTATTAGTCAATGCCAACTACAAGTGTCAACTTCAATTACAGGTCGAGGAAAGAACCGAAGACAAAGCATCTTCTAGAGGTCGTGGAGAGGATGAAGAGAGAAGACGGCGAGGAACTGCCTTTTCAGATCACAACACCAAGGCCATCGCAGCTCAGCACATTCACAGCATGTTCACCTGCACGGACAAACACGCACTCATTTCCATGGCAGCTGACCGTGGAGGCACACAGAGTTTCTGGAGACAAACTTGTATTGCACTTGAAATACCTTCTCTATTCATACATATTTGCACACATTTGCACAATCAGCTACACTGAACATGCTGCCGTGATGTAACTGGACACATGAGAGATTCATCCTCCCGACACGCACATGCATTTCAGCCTAAGAAGAAACGGAGCACTAAATGAAACGCTCTGCTATGCTATACTTACACAGGCCTGCTTTACATAGTGTTCAGAGCACACCCAGGGTTCTAGCCATTCAAAGTAGCTGCTATCACAACTGGAACAATGGATACAGTTGCAGGTGTGCGTGTCTTTGCCCTAACAGAAATGCAAGTATTGCATTATGTGTTGAGTTTGTTCCAGGTCAGTTGGTTTCTAAATTATTTTCTGGTTTTATCTTACAAAACTTATGGTCTAACACTGATATGTAGCTTAAAGACACAGTTTGGCAACCAAGGACCCTTATGAATCCTAATTCTTTTCTCAGCTTAACAGTGATTCACCAGGGATTTGTAGTTTGAGGACAGGGTTAAAACTTATACACCACCACTACCCACAGAAAAGGCTGACCAGAAACCAAAGAGAATAGTCACATTTTTTTCTGTTACTTGGATTATCGATTTTGTGATGTAATTTGTTTAAACATTGTGTAAATATATAGTTAATATTTTATTGTCACACACAAGATGTTCATATCATGTTTTTAAGCCCCTTTGCTTTGCTAATCTGAAATTTAAAAAACTGTAATGTTAGATATAACTCTGGGTGCTGCTAGGCACTTGCTCAATAACGGACTCGTATGCATTTGCAAAGTGTTTTGGCGAACTGATGAGGCAAAAACATTATGTGGCTGACAGAAAAACACTCAGTAAGGCTTCATGGTCATTCATTACTTTGCATGATGTGCATTCGCTAGTGACGGTTAGCTATCCCAGCTAGCTAAAAACTTATTCCAAATCCCACTGACATTTGAAATTATGCTAATAGCTAAAAGTTTATTCTGGAAGGGCATCTTTTAAAATGGCACATTATAGGCACACAGATATTAAATTAGATATTTGAAGACTGATATAATAGTATTGCTCAATAATCAGTCTGTTTAACAGTGCAGGGTTGCATGGAAGTTTTAGCATGTAGTGGTCAAACCATGTTCAGTTTCTGTGTTTACTGTGTGTTGCAGAAGGCGTTGATGCTCTCTTGGCTTTGTAATGAATATATACTTGTAGGTGCTGCTTTCAGTCTTGTGAGGTGCTTCTCTGCACCTGCTCACCTGACCAAGGATTCAGCACGGCACTAATCTGAAATGCAGTTGCAATTTACTTACACTTTGACAGCACAGTAAATGGGTTTAAATGGTGTGAGTTGCATTTGACAGTTGATTTTTACCGCTCAAGTTTATGAAAAGCACCTGTAGAATTGGAAAATTAACTTTAAGTGTTATATTATCGAAGTATTAGGGTTGCTAACAACAACCTAAGATATTTTGTTATTAAAATATTCTTATAGGGAAACCCACAGATCCAAAATCATTTTAAAATTCACTCATGGTCATTTTTAATTGAGTATGAGCCTCTGTCCCATAGTTACAACTGGAGGTTCAGCTCTTCATGAACAATATGGCAACCGTGTTGACACAATGGTCCAATGAACCAAGCATTGCAGCATCTACATGTATATACCTTATCTCAACTGTTGTTATTGAACAGAATGGAATCGGATGTATTGTGATATTACCTCCGACTTTCTTAGGCCCCAGTGTGGCAGCTATGGGTTACTGTTATCATATAACAGTCTTGAAGTTGTAGGCATAGCGTCACACTGCTCATTTGCAGTACCTCTGCCGTCACGTAACAACCACTGAAGCTACCATAAAATCTGACTCTGTTGTGAATATAAACCTGGAAACTGGATAGACTCGCCTCGCTACAGTGCCCGTGTCTCCTCGTTGTGGGGTAACATTCCTTACAGTGTTAACAGCTGACTTTCACACCAGTTTTTTGAAGTTGCCTTAGTAAACTGTGCATGATATTTTAGCTTGTGAAGAAATTATATTTGCTTCAGTGTATCCAATGTGCTAGGAGGCATTTATTTTGTGTATGTAAATAACTCACTATGGGTGTATGTATTTTTGTAGTTTCCTATTTGCACAAGCCGGAAGTGTCCTCTGAAGCCTGTTCCCCTCCCTTTGTGTCTTTCCTTACACGGTTCCAAAGTATGACCCCATATTTTACCAAACCCCCCATTCCTAAACCAGTGAATGGAGAAAATATGCCCTGTAGGTACTTTCTCGTATCAGTTTAATAGGGGTCACCACTACCCTTCATAATTTGCACAGCCTGTTGTTAGAGAGCAGCTTTTCACAGTAGATTCACTAAACAAAAGCACATACAGTGAGAAGTACACTCATCTGTTAATAGACAGGTGAGAATTTCACAACTGTGTTTTTAATAGTTCCCATGTGATCATTTGAGCCAAGAGCTTATGTGTATGTCCTGTTCAATGAATATTATCTGGAGACAAAAGTGATAATGGCTTTTGGATATTGATACTCTCCTCAATCCTTAATTTGCTCTGACATCTTGCCTGTCCTCTTCCTTCTTGTTCAGTGCTGCTGAGGTATCCTCATTAACACCTCTGAGGTGTTGAGGCAACTGAGGTATTATTAATAGTTTTAGATACACCGTTTGGTGCCCTTGGACACATCATCAGTGATGTAACCTGAGGTCATGGGGGGTTTCGGGTCTCTCCATTGAAAAAGAAGATTCAAAGTCTAAGTATGTGATCTGTAGTAAAAAGGTCCATAAAATATGTGAAAATCTCAAAGACCACTGTACTCGGACCACTGCTCTCCTGCCTCGCGGTATGTGGTCACCTCTGAGCTAAAGCGGTACTGAGTAAGCACTGGTTTTGAAACTTTCAGGGTGGTGCTTACACCGCTGAACCTTGCAGATATATTAGTTTGTTTTGTCTGTAGTTACCAGCCCGGCTGCCTTTGTAAGAATTCAGCTCTGTATGTATGAGAGAGACATGAAAAAGTTCCTCCTTCCTGTTTTTTTTTTTTTTATCCTTTTGCATATCTGTCACACTTACAGGTTTCAGATCATCAAACAAGTTTTAATATTAAAATATTAATATAATATTTTAATATTAGACAAAGACTGATCCAAACCCAATGTAAGGTTTATGTCACAGCTTGCTAACAGTATCAATAATTACAGTTGTTTCTTTAATGCTTAATCCACCAGTTTGTGCAATATATTTAATCAAAATCATATTTTTAATACTACAGTGTGGTAATTGTCATTATCTATGAACTTTCAAATTTACTATTATACATAAATCCAAAAAAATAAAATAAAAAGCACATCATTATTATTTTTGTATTAAGATAAATAAACTAAATTGTTATAATTTTTTGCTGATATTCAAGTACAAAATTAGTTTTGGTGGTTGAATGCTACACCTGATTGATGTCTGATTAAAGTCCAGTGTCGGCTCAAATTTGAGTATAAAAACATGAATTCAGTAATAAATAACAATCACATTTTTAGTTTTAAACGTGTTTTTAACAGATATCTAAAATATCTGTTTTCTAGTTTTTATGAAAGGTGGTCTAAAAAATTGGTAAGCACTCTCCATACAGTAAATAGATACAGGAAGGCAACCCAGCAGCCTTTGTAAGGCTTTTGGTTGGGAGACCAGTCATTGCATTTTGAGCAGAATGGCTCTAAATCACTGCTGTGTATTCCAGACAACCAGTGTGGTCGTGCTTTAAACTTGCATAATTTCCTAAGGCCAGCTGTGAGCAAGTCCTCTAGTTGCAAAAAGAAGTCCAGTAGAAGTCTGTTGCTTAAGCCTGTGATCTCAGTAAACACTGTCCCCATCAGCCTATGCTAGTTCATGTTCTAAATGATGGTCCCTGCTAAAGTGAAAAGGAAGAGCAAAGCTGGGAATGCTGTAGGGCTGTGACTGATGTGTTGCTATTGTATAAGCTTCACGCATTACAATAACCTGAGGATTATGATGGACTGTGAAGTGGATGGGCTACTATGTCACTGGCATTCTGGTGTACATGTGAGTCTAGTTTTAATATAATTTTAATGCAGAGTAACTGATGTCACACCATGTGTTATAGGTTGCTAATGGTGGATGGTTGTGTGCTGTTTTACTGATGTCAAGGACAGTTTGAATTCATCCTGGCTGCTAAAGAAGACCAACCCTTGATTTTTATGTTGCAGTATTGGGTATTGCTGCACATCTAATGTGAACAGTCTCACAGGCTGCAGTAGTTTTAACATGCCAAATGAGGCGTTGAGTGGGGATGGCAATTCCAAGAGGCTGTAAAAGCCTTTTTGGGTGAGTGTAGATATGTCCTAATGAAATCTACTGCCACTCCAGTTGTATTTTACTTAGCTTGAATAGATAAATCAATCCACAGATTTACTGGCTATGTGTGCTCTCTATCCAAGTGCAAACAAACAAATGTCACTTTAAAGTGCTCATAGAGGACAGCAGTAGAGAAGCAGAGAGCTGGGTCCAAGTGTCCTTAAGTCAAGCACTGAGCCTCTAAAGCAGGTGCTTGCTGAGCACCGTCAATGGGGTTACGCTTGTATATGAGTGAAGAGACAGACGCCATTCAAATTTTTTTCTACCTCTACAAGTGGGTGAATAGAATAATGGTACAACCATCCCAACCTCTGTTCACCTGTCAGCGTGTTAGAGCAAAGATAGACACCGAGGAGAGGAATTCAGGGCCCACCTGCAGGGACTTCAGATGGATGTATCGCTGTAGACGTTACACTTCCAACCTTCCCCTCCTCCTCCCTCAATGGCAGAAGTATTACTGTGTGTTTAGTTGTGGTAAATGAAGCTATTTTAAATATTGTAATAAAGAAAAAATAAATAATATATGTATTTTAACAGATGTTCTCATTTTTCTCAGTGAGTTTTATGATGTTTAAAAAAAGCGGAGCTCTTAAAATAAAAATAAAGAAAAAAAATGTAGATGACGTCTAAATGTTTTATAAACGATGAGTTTAGATTTTGTATAAGATGTGATATTTTGTGGGATTTGTCTACACTGTTATACAACGAGAAATTGAATGTACTGTGACCGCCATAGGCATAAAACTGATTGAATAATTGCTCAATTAATGAATCAATAAACTGCCGAAATTGTGGAGAAAACTGGTTCCAGTCTTTTTGTGTACGTTTACCATAATGCTGCTCTTGGTGGACACGATACCAAGGAGAAGAAGTAGTAACTCAGATGAACACAAGGTGGTGCTACTGGACAACTACAGGCTGTTTTTGCTGGATGAATGAAGAGAACACAAGGACAGTGACAGCTCCAGTAATTTCAGTTAACAACAATTAAACTCAGTTGTTATTATCAGTTAAGGTAAATATTGGAGGACCAGAGAACTGACTGTGACAGATAAACAGGTCCAGAGAGTGTCAGTGTCACAGGCATAATGAGTTTGTAGACCTGTAAACTGCGGCAGGAATTCAAAGAGTTGATTTAAAAGAAACAAAGACCAGACAGATGTTGTGCAGAGACGCAGGATGTGGCCACAATCCAAGTCATTCCAGAGTGTCAGTGAAACATAGAAGTCATATGACGCTCTGGATATGTTTGCAGCTTCTGTAACTGGCACAGATGGTGGCAGCAGAGAGACGCATGCAGAAGTGTGCAGACAGAAAGTAATTCCTTAATTCTCACTTTTATCCCACAGCCAGACGATGATCTGAAAACACCCATCAACCACAGTTTTTATTCCAGTATAAAACAGGAAGTGTTAGAATGGTTAAATCAGTCAGAGGTGTTGTAACAACAATAAAGAAACGCCCCGGGAAGAAAGCTTTTCTGAAGCAGATGTTTAGTTCTGTCAGTAGTCACAGATTTAATGGCATCATTGTATCGACAGCCTGTGCGATAGAGTTGTTTCACTTTTGTTTGCCATGAGATTCATCTGTTAGCAGAGTCAAGATCATCATTACTGTTTGTATGAAATAACAATTTATATGCATTTACATGTATAGAGTTATGAAGATCTCTGCTCCTTTTTATCCTCCATGCAGTACAAACCAGTCCTGCAATTCAATTCAACTTTATCTATATATCACCAATTCACACCAACAGAGACATTATATTGTAAGGTAAAACCCTAAAATGATAGAGATAATCAGATGAGCAATTACTTGGCAACAGTGGGAAGGAAAAACTCTCTTTTAGCAGGAAGAAGCCTCAGGCAGAAGCTTCTTCCTGCTCTGCGAGGGGAAATCAGAGAGAGACTGAAGAGAGCGGGGAGAATGAATTCGTTTCTTAATGTAGAAACATCCGACTGTGCCCTGTATGCCATGGAAAGCATCGTAAATGAGCTATTATTTAAGGAGTTTAACAGTTTACCTTTCAGCGTCCACAAAGTCTGTGGCAACCCTTGAAGAATCAGGGTTAGGGTTTAGGGGAGGTTAATATCCCCTCTTTTTACAAAATCTTCACCCGTTTGAAAAATGGTAAACCTTCAAGGCCAAAATGAACGTATGATGCTTCATTTGAAAGACACATCTTTTATAGTTACACCCTCCCACTCACAAACCCTAAAGCTAACCCTGAACATGTTACTGCTACGCATGTCTCTCAGTAAAGGAAACAATGCATTTCCACCGGAAACTGAGGGAACTGTTTCACCCTGGGGACCTATGGCTCAGATTTTTTGTTGGAAGAAATATGAGTGTAAGAAGTCCACATATAATAATAAATAAACAAAAATATTATAATTATATTTCACCAATTACTGTTCTCCTTCAGATTTTCCAAAGTCATCCAGCGGGCCAGATTAGAGTCTTTGTGGACTGTTTGACACCACAGCACTAGAGAAAGCTCTAGCTTAACCTTTTAAGTCATATTTGACATTATGTAGTCTGTGTAGGACTACAGAAGAGAAGGAAGATACAATTAAACAGTTGAGACAAGATATTGGACGACCTGCACAACTCTGAAATTGATCATACATCGGATATCGTATCTGTGTTGTAGAGGCGAGAACACGCCGCAGCAGCTGTAACTTACTTTAATAAAAAATACCTGTGTTAAACCTGTAATTAGTTCTTAATTTGTAGGTGAAATATTTGAGATGACATATTAAAATAAAATTATTTAATAGTTATTGCAAAATATATATTTCAAAAGAGCTCACGGTGACTTTCACACTGAGGAAGGTTCCTGCTGAAGGTCAACACTGACTGACATAGTTTTCCTGACAGTAAAAAAGCATCTGGGCTCAAATGGATTAACTATGATTTGTTTCTTCTTCCAGTTCTATACGCCATTTAATGTCATCATCTGCATCATGTATGGTTTGTTTTTGAGGAATGTTGCTTTGAATCCTACAGGCATGCCTGCACAGCCTCCTGTAGCGACAGTCACATGAGAATTCCGTCGACCCTCCAGGAAGAACAACTTTTAGACGTTTCTGTCCTCACAGAAAACGGATCTCGGATGAGACAAAACGGATCAGATCTGTCATTATCATGAGGGCGGTGCTTTCGACAGCCAATCAACGTGATTTTCACTACAAGCTCCCTGGCACAGCAGTGGAGGACGCCTCGGCTGAGTGCTCGCACTCTGTTTACTTTGTCGGCTGGCAGTGTGTTCAGTTCAGTGTGAGGGAGCCGGCTCTGTAGATATGAGCAGCTGGCAGCTGTGAGGCCTCTCAGGACTTCCGTCTGCTCTGACGTGTTAACGATGCTGCTGGACGAGCGGATCTGGTTGCTGTTTAAGCGCCACTGGCCACAGACTCTCACCTACTGGAGCGTGTTCTTCAGCTTCGGCCTGTGCATCGCCTTCCTGGGACCCACTATCCTGGACCTGAGGTGTCAGACCCAGTCGACCCTGCAGCAGATCACCTGGGTGTTTGTGTCTCAGCAGTTCTTTCTGCTGGTGGGCAGCAGCGTGGGAGGACTGTTTAAGAAAACGTGAGTCTGGTTAGTGAACACAGAGTGTTTTCATGAGGTCTAGCTTCACATGTAAAACACCTCACCGCTCACTGTGTTTCATCCAGTGCGTCCTCTGCCAGTCATCGATGCTTTGACTTGTGTTTGTTATCAGAGCTCAGCTGTGAAAGCTGTGAATCCTCTCTCACTCTGCATGTGTGATGGGTTAGACACAAGCCCACTGGGACGGTTTCTAACAGGGTCCATGTGAACCCACACCCAAGGAGTGTGTAGGATAACATAGTTTGCATGTCAGTGATGAACTTTATAATAAACAAAGAATCATATACTTCACCTTTACAGGTCCCAGCTGTGCGGCAAAGGGAGTTACTATGAACTGTTTTCAATCTATGCGCGGTTCCACACATTTCCTAAAAGAACCTGGTTTGTACTAAAAGCATGATATGAATAAACTGCTGGCTGCAAAGCTGAAGCCACTGACGTCAGTGGTTCTAGGAGAGGCTACTCTCTCAGGTGGGTCTGTTATCAGGGTTTCTGTGAGTGCACTACAAGCACAACTGCCTGCAGGAGCCTTTCTAGATACCAAAACCACAATTGTTAAACTAGTTAATATGTCTTATTAGCCTTCTGTTACATGTTGAAAATACACTTATTCACAAGGGGGTGCCACAGTGGGTGGCGTGACATATTTGGATCTTCAGCTTGTTAAGTTTTAGGGAGCCACTTAACCATGATAGCAGCTAAAAAAAGTTAAAAGTTTTTAAATAAGGAAAAGAGGACGTGTTTACCTGTTAAGTTTAAGTCAGTTATGTCACTTATGTCCTCTAATTCACCTGCGTCTTCTAATTACAGGACTTACCTGCAGTGATATCAGTGTTCTTGTTCTGGCAGAATAACTGGTTCTCACATTTGAGCAGGACAGTGGTTTAGAGTTTCACAGAGTACAGAGCCAAATACAGTAACTAACCCTGTGGGTAACAAAGACGTGCCTTTGCTGATATCTCTGCTACCTTTAAAGCTTGCTTTTTGGCCCCAAAGCAGAATAAAGTTACATTGTAAACAAACACATTCAAACGAGAGTTCAGGTTTATGAATGCACAGATAAAATAACTGAGCAGATGAATTATTACACCAAATAGGATTTTTTTTCTTTTCTTTTTTTCTTTTTAGTGACTGAAGTTGAGAGTTTGCAAAATATTGTGGTCTTGATGGACGACTCAGTATGAAATGTTTTGTTCCTGATTAACAATAGTGTTGAAATAATTTTGCAGCTAGACTTTCACCTGTGACAGTTGGACTGAATATTGTATTTGACTGGCAGATCTGTGACATGCAAATGACAGAGTTTTGGTTCACATCTCTGTTTGAAATTTCCAGCCACTGAGCAGGAATGACAGATTGTGTGAAATGGAAATCTACATGTGTTGGGACACAATGGACATACAGTATGATGCCAAACACATTCACTCGTCTGTGACATCCCATTCTTAATCCATAGAGCTTAATATGATGTCGGCCGCTGTTTGCAGCTATAACAGCTTCACCAAGGTTTAGTTTTTGTGGGAATTTCTGACCATTTTTCCAGAATCACACTTGTGGGGCCAGACACTGATTCTCTAACTCATCCCAAACGTCTTCTGTCAGGTTGATTTGAGGAGTTTGTGCAGGCCAGTTAAGTTCTTCCACATCAAACTAACTCGTCCATGTCTTTATGGACCTTGCTTTGTGCAGTGGTGCACAGTCATGTTTGAACAGGGAGGAGCCATCTCCAAACTGTTCCCACAAACTTGGGAGTATATAATTGTCCAAAAATTGTCCAAAATGTCTTGGTATGCTGAAGCATTAGGAGTTCCTTTCACTGAATGTTGGGTTTTTTGGTTAATGGGAAAAAGCCTTTGGAACCTTGGAATGTTCCCATGGAAGCCCAGTCTATTTCTTATTGTTAAATCATCAAAACTGACCTTAACTGAGACAAGTGAGACTTTTGAGACATCTTGGCTGAGTTGTTCTTGATGTTTCTTTGTGCAATGATGTGTTGCTTTTAGAGATCTTTCAGCTTACTTCACTTAATACATACATACATTTTCTACTTCAGTGAGGAGGTCTGGCAGTACTCAGGATAGTGTGGCTGTTGAACCAGAGATTAGCTTTCCAAAAAATGTAGTTAATCACAGTTAATTTATGATTGAATAAGGAGGGAACTATTAATATAAAATAATATTTAATAAAAT